TCCTCTTCGTTGACGCGAGGGAGATTCTGAGGGTCTTCCACGGCCTCTGCGTGGGCCGCCTCCTCCTCCTCGTCCTCCCTGAGGAGTCGTACCTGTAGAAAGATGAAATGTTGAAACAAAAACATATATTTCACAGGAAAAAAACATATATTGCGCCAAATTTATTCATGTATTTAGTGACTACAAAATAGAATGTTTCTAGATGCAGAGAGCACATTGTAGATGAGACTTAAAGGTGCGGCTCGTGCTTGCCTTTGTCCTTTTACGATAATAGAGTACTTACGTTGCACTGCGAAGAGCGAGTGCTGCTGTTCGCGCTGCTGCTGGTGCTCATGAAGCTGTCGCTGTAATGCGATAGAAACGTACCGATTAGATTTTTATGTAAGAAACATAAATGCAATGTGTGCTTACCTTAGCCAGCTTATATCGCGGAACATGTCTTCGCTGCTGCTCGTGCTGCTGCTGGTGCTCATGATGCTGCTTCTATGTCATACAAATGTAACGATTAGAAATAAATGTTAACAGTTAAACGGTTGCAAGTGAGGAAGCACGTCTGCTTCGAGATTTCATATTTTTACCACAAGGTGTCAAAAATGAAATCTCGAAGCAGACGTTCCTCTGGCAAACTGTGACTCTAGATGGGTTTCGAGTCTTTATAACGTGAAATTTACCAAGTTTAATAGTATTCACGCACTCTAAAATATTCTGCTTTACAGAAATATGCAAAAAACTGATTCTAGATGGGTTTCGAGTCTTAATAACATGAAATGCACCAAGTTTTAGAATATTCACGCATTCAAGAATATTCTGCTTTACAAAAAAGTTTACCGTTGCCTTTTCAAGCCAACTATCGCTATACATATATATCAAAGGGTCTTATTTGGTGTACAATTATGGAAATTCAACATTTAAACCGTCAGAAGCGATGGCACGCGTCTGCTTCGACTTTTCATTTTTTACACCTTCAGGTCAAAATATGAAATGTCGAAGCAGACGTTCTTCCTCACTTCCGACCGTTGTCTACATTCAAGTAGCCGTACACTCAAAAAAAGAATTACTGCAATCATTTTATTTAGCAATATCAAGTTAACTGTCTTAGCTATCTGATACATCTACAGGAAAGAAAATTGTCTTTAGCATAGCTAAACATTAGCTGAAATTATATTTGCTATTCAATTTGCTACTACACAAAAAGATTAGCTATCTTAGCTATCTGATCTACCTCTCAGAGTAATATTGTTTTTCCTTTTTGTAGATGAACCGAGTGACGATGACATTGCCAATTATGAAGAATATTTATTATGGTTAAAGAATAATTGTACACCAAGGCAAAAGGTCTGTACATATTGGTCTCAGACTTGAAAAAAACGAGTTCAAGATCTCTTAAGTAATAATCAGCCTTGTGCCATGAGTACATGAATCAATTTCCAGCTTTTTCTGAGCCACTAGGTTATCTATTGGTGAGTATGTAACATACACTCAGATGCAAAAAAAGCGGTACACTAAAAATTTGGGAAAAATTTACCAAATTTCAAGTGATCATAATTTAGTAAATAATGAAGATAAAAATAAATTTAAAAATGGAAAATGAAGCTCCAAATGTCCTCTTTAAGAATATTTGAAAGGCAATTATGCTCGGCTATTTTTTTCAAAATGACGAATGATAAAGTGAGAGGATGCAAAATTTAGAATTGAACATCCGAGTTTGTGACGGTCCATGGCGTGAATCAGGTATCACAGCGTAATGTAACGAAGTGTACATGAAAGTATAGAGTGTTAGCTTTAAAATGCTTGTTTACCGAGCACGATACGATCATTTTTCGCGGAGTTACGCACATTTAAAGAAAAAAAAGCGCTTTATTCTTTATATGTGCATAACTCCGCGAAAAATGATCGTATCGAGCTCGGTAAACAAGCATTTTAAAGCTAACAGTCTATACTTCCATGGGCTCTTCGTCACATTAGGCTGCGATACCTAATGTACGCTATGCGCTGTCGTAAACTCGAAGCTTTATTTATCAACTTTGCATGCTCTCCTTTAGTCATCCGCCATTTTGAAACAATCGTCGCGTACAATTTCGATTTTAATTTCGAAAAGTAGGATTTCACAGCTTTCAAACCGTTTTTGAAATTTTGTACTGGGGTATTTAGGTGCCGAGATATTCAATTCCGAATTTGCAACAAGGTCAATTCATTGTTTTTCAAATTATGGTCGTAATTCTCTCCAATATGAATGGCATGAAATTTTATTGATCGGAATGGCATCTCGTGCGTGCGTGTGTGAGTGTGTGTATGTGTGTGTGTGTGTGTGTGTGTGTGTTTGCATACCGCAAGGATAAGGACCCCCTAGGCATAAGAGGGACACGCGATGTACAAGGTCTGACCCGTATGGCCAGGAATACGTCGTGGACGAGGAGGAGGACCCGACGGGCCTTGGTGCCAAGATCCGCACGAGGACCAAGGGTTCCCCCTCCCCGAAGAGGACCGGAGGCTCTCCCACCCCGTCGGGTACAAGCGACGGGGAGGGGGATACGACATCGGTCGCGAGTAGTGAGGTCGTCGACGACCAGGACGACCCCGCTCGCGTGGTGGACTCCGAGGAGGACAATGGCTCCGACGCCAGCGACAAATCCCACTTGTCCAAATCGGGGGCCACCAAAAGGAGCAGGAGCAGCCGAAGGAGGAAGGGCGCGAAGTACGCGCGCTCCCAGGGCGGCTCCAGCGAGGAGGAGGAGAACCCCCTCCCGGAAAAGGACGGGAGGGGCAGGCCGCCCTCGACGGGAAAGGGCGTTCTGATGGCCGAACGCAAGAAGGCCGAGAAGGACCTCAATAAGGCCAACGGTGAGTGGCGGGACACCCAGAGGGCCATGCAAGGAGGCTACGACTCCCGCAAGTACGAGGGAGCCGAGAGGCGGAAAAAGGTGAGGGAGCTGGAGGAGCAAATCCCCCAACTCCCCACCCGCGATCTGGTTGCTGAAGTGGTGAAGCACAGCAGCAGGATCGACGAGGCGGTCTCGGCCAGCAAGAACCTAAAAGGTACCCTTGCTGGCATGATAAGGGAAGGGGCCCTGTTTACTAGGATCGCCATAGACGCCCTGAATACCAGGCTGAGCGGGAGGGCGACGGAGACAGAGGAGCTGTTGAGGGAGGAGCTGGCCTCCCTCAAGGCCCAGGTCGCCGACCTCCTGAGGGAGAAGGAGGAGCGGGACCATATGGCGATGCCGCCCCCCCACCCACCACAGACAGGGGGGAACGCCATCCCTTCGGGGGAGGACGTCCGGGGGAAGGAGATGCCGGAGGTGGTCGCGGACCGACTGCCGATGGACCCTCCTCCCCCCGGGAAGATGGCGGATCCTGCGCCACCGGAAAAGAGGACCTGGGAGGTCGTCACACCTAGGGACACCTCCCGGGCCTCGACGTCGGGGGCGTGGAAGACACAGGCGGGGAAGAGGGAGAGGTCCGCTTCTAGGAAGCGGGCCAATCCCCCGACCCCCGGGAAGAGCTCCCCCCTGCCATCCCCCCACGCCCCGCAGAAAGCGGGGAAATCCCCGCCAAAGGCAGGGGAGATCACGGGGGAGTGGGTACGGGGGGAGATCAAGGAGGCTGTCGACCGATCAAACAAGGAGATCGGTTGGCAGCTCCAACGGAGGGATTGATCCGGGCTCTGGCCGACGGCGGGGCCCGTGACAGCGGCCCCGCGGCGGGCCCCTCCAACCCCCGAAGGGGAGGGGGGGCGCCGCGGGGGGCCGTCCAGAAGGGCGGATCGGGAGGGAAAGACCCTCCAGCGAAGGTTGCGAACGTTGCGGGGGAGGGGGCGAAGAAGATGAAGAAGAAGAAGAAAAAGAAGGCCCCTCCCTCGCAGCAGACGCAGGGAGCAGAGAGGACAAGGGCTCCCGAGCTTCGAGACGCCAAGTCCTCCCAGCCTGCCGCGGGCGTTGACACGTACGCGGTGGTGGTTGGGAGGAGGGCCAAGGTGGCGGGGAAACCCGCGAAAGGAGTCCCCAAGGCGGCCGCCCCCCCCTGCCCCAGTTAAGGGGCAGGCTGGCGGTCCGCCTAAAAAGACTCCCGCGAGACGACCCCCGCGCACGTCGGCCGTGGTCCTCACGCGTCCCAGTGGGGACTACCGTGAGGCCATGGCCAAACTGCGGCGGGAGGTCGATCTGAAAGATCTTGGCATCGAGGACCGGGTTAAGGTTAGAACCGCGGCCACCGGTGCCAGGATCATAGAGGTGTCTGGGGAGGGCCACGCTGATAAAGCGGACCTCCTCGCGGGATATATTACGCGTGCCTTACTCGGGGAGGAGGGCACGCGGGTGGACCGCCCAAGGAGGACGGCCGAGGTGCGCCTACGCGACTTCGACGACTCCTTGGGCGTGGAAGAGGTGAAGGGGTGGATCGCAGAGGCCGGGCATTGTGGCGCCTCCGACGTGCAGTGCGGAGCGCTGCAGCCGGCCGCCGGGGGCGGCCACGGCCTCTGGATGCGCCTGCCCCTCACCGCGGCGAGAGAGCTGACCCGGAAGGGGAAGATCCGGGTCGGCTGGGGAGTGGCCCGCATGGACCCTCTCGAGGCGCGCCCCATGAGGTGCCATAAATGCTTCGAGAGGGGGCACGTGAGGGCGACATGCCACGGTACGGTCGATAGAAGCGGGAGGTGTTACCGGTGCGGCGAGACCGGTCACACCTCCCGCGACTGCCGGTCTGCCCCAAAGTGCCCATTGTGCACCGATAAGGGCAGGCCGGCAAAGCACGTTCTGGGCGTCAAAGTGTGCGCCCAGAAAAACGTGCGGGGGAAGCAGTCGGGGCAGTGCGCTATGGAGCAGGCGCCTGCAGCCGAGGTCCCCCCCCGGCCGAAGTCCGGCCGACGGAGGAAGGGGCGGAGATGGGGAGCGGCGAAACGGGCGAGAGGCCCCAGCCGCAGCGCCAGAAGGCGCAGAAGGAGACGGCCTCCGGCACAGAGGCCATGGAAGTAGAGACCCCATCGGACGGGGGGGATGATAAGGCTGAGTAATGCCTCGCTCTCCTCCCCGTCCGAATCTGAAGGGATTTGGCCTCATACAGGCCAACGTGAACCACTCCCCACAGGCTCAGGATCTGCTCCAGCAGAGCATGGTGGAGAGTGGATTCACGTTGGCGATCGTGTCCGAGCCCCACCGCCCCCCGAGAGACAGCCCATATTGGGCTGCTTATAACGGGCGGGCGGGGGACTCGGTCGCGATTCGGTGGCGGTCGGTGCCGGGTGGTCCCGACACGACCCCCATCGATAGAGGGGAGCGGCACGTTGCCGTCCAATGGGGGCCCATCGCGGTCGTTGGGGTCTACTTAAGGGGGTAATACACTGGCGACCGAAAATGAGGGTCAATTTCAGGATTTATTTGTGATAAAGTGGTAGGCCAATCAGGTTCATGGTGTATACGATATTGAAGTACATGTTTAGGTGTATTTACAGTATTTTTTATTTGGAAAAATTTTAAGAAATGTAGGAGTTATGAGTCATCTCGCAGAGCCCTCGCGCGCGCGTGCGCTCGACTACGGTGTACGTAGTAGCTGCTGTACGGCGTACCTGAAATAAAAAACGCAAAAAGGGTATTAAATTTAAATGTATTCCCCACAAGTTGACGTTCGAAAATTGTAAAAATGTTAAAAATTGTGAAAGTTATAGCACTTAACAAAAAGAAGTTCATTTTGTACTGAAAAAAACCAACGGTTTTTTATTGTTATTAACACATGGTTAATCGGGGGACAAAAAACTCTACGTCAGCATGAGCATTGTGCTGTTATATAGATGTAAGCCAAAGGCCAAGACAGCCGGAATAAAAGTACGTTCGGAATCACGTACACCGTTTAAAAAAAAAAGCGTTTTGAGATAAACGCGTTTAAAGTTTTGGCACCTGTTTTCTATGAGATAAAGTGATAATTATTTCATCATACCATTATTCTGCTGTTCCTGCACCATATTGCAGCCCTTCTGCATCGGCTAAAACGTCCTCTGCAGCCAATCTCTCAAGCCTACGAGCAGATCTTGCCTCTCGCGTGCTTTCCTATGCTCGAAGATCGGCAGCATTGACGCGATGTTGATCAGCATACATGCACCACTGATGTGCTTTGTCGCCAATTTTTAAATTCAACATCTGCATAACATTTAGATATGCCATTGCTCCCTCGTTGAATGTACTGCAGGCAATATATGCTGCTATTTCAACGACCTCAGCACCCTCGGATGATATTTTTGGCGCGATTTTCCATATGACGGAGTTTACACTTTCATTACAATTTTGAAGAAATGGACACAGAATATACACATAGAAATATACCATAGAATATACAATACGAACGAGAGAAGGGTTTGCAGCAGGTATAATTCTCGTAAATATCGAGCGGCGGCGTCTCAGACCGGTTTAGCGGCCGACACTACTTCGCTTCAATGGCTATAACTTCGTCAATTTTTGGAATTTTGCAATCGGCAAGGGCTCAAAATACGCGTAAAGAATAACACTTTCAAAATATGCAATAAAAAAAATCGATTTTTTCGAAATTTCCAGAGTGTACCACCCCCTTAAGGCCCACCAGACGCCCTGCTCTGTTTGAGGGCTGGCTGTCGGACGTGGGACGGACGTTAACACGTCTGAGTCCGAAGCCGGTCCTCGTAGCCGGGGACTTCAACGCGTGGCACACGAGTTGGGGTTTCCGGCGTGATAACGAGAAGGGCAGGGTTCTGGCGAGTTGGGCGGCGGCGCACGGCCTGGTCCTCGCGAACGAGGGCCGGACCCCCACCTGCGTGCGGACGCAGGGGGAGTCCATTGTGGATATCACATGGGCTACCCCCTCGGCCGCGCGCTTGATCACTGGATGGAGGGTGGAGTAGGACATCGAGACCTTGTCGGACCACCGATACATATCGGTGGAGCTCGGTGTCCTCTCCTCCGTGCGTTGCCAAGTGGAGACGCGACCGCGATGGGCCCTCCGGAAACTCTGCGAGGATGCCCTGAGGGCCTCGATAGAGGCCGCCTGTAGGGTCCGGGGAAGTTTCCCCGAGACCCGGGAGACGGACCCCCTGCAAGAGGCCGAGTGGATCGGGACGACGCTTACAGCGGCGTGCAACGCCGCGATGCCCCGGTCCAAGACTCGACCTCAGCGAGCCGTCTACTGGTGGACGGCAGAGATCGCCGACTTGCGTCGACGAGCCGTCCACCAGCAGAGGAGACTCGCCCGCTGCAGGCGCAGAGGCGAACAGGCGGCCGAACGAGCCAGAGAGTGTTACCTTGACTCCAAGGTAGCCCTCAGGCGGGCCATCAAGGTGGCAAAGGGCAGGGCGTGGACGGAGTTCCTCGACTCCCTTCAGAAGGATCCGTGGGGGCGCCCATGCAAGATGGTTCTCAACAAGTTGAGACCATGGGCGCCCCCGCTGACGGAGCGGCTGGTCGTGGGATTCGTCCGGAGGGTGGTGCAGACCCTCTTCCCCGATATTACCGGGGAGGATGAGGGGCCACCCTCCGAGCCGGGGGAAGACTCCCCCGACTGGGACGACTCCCTGGACGTCCAGCCGGAGGATCTCCAGAGGGCCGTCAGGAAGGGCCTTAGGGGCAATGCAGCCCCAGATCCTGACGGCCTTCCCAAGCGTGTCCACGCCCTGGCCATGGGCGTCCTCGCAGAGGAATATGCGCGCGCGTACAGCGCGTGTTTGCGAAGAGGTGTCTTCCCCCCACGGTGGAGGAGTGCCACGCTGGTACTCCTCCCAAAGGAGGGGAAAGACGCCTCTCTCCCGTCGGCGTATAGACCTATATGCCTTCTGGACGAGGTCGGTGAACTTTTCGAGCGAGTACTCGTAAACCGCCTCGTCCAGCACCTGTCCCAAACGGGCCCCGACATCAGCGGGGCCCAATATGGGTTCAGGGAGGGCCTGTCAACCATAGACGCTAGTAAGCGTGAGCAGGCCCTCTCTGAAGAGGCGACGTCCCGGGGGGGGGGGTGATGTTGGCTGTATCGCTGGACATTGCCAACGCCTTCAACACCCTCCCCTGGGGACGAATCAGGGAGTCGCTCCGACGCACAGTGGTCAGTTTGACCGATCTGAGCGGTGAAAATTATTTAAGTAAAAAAATTTTTTTGCCTGTTCTTTATAAGTACGCGTTAAAATCTGTAATAAAATTGAGTTTTATTTTTTATTTCTGTGTAAATATTATTTAATTCCAACGTTAAATAAACGTATATACGTATTTCTATAAATAAAGGTCGATTTGGATACTTAAATAATTTTCACCGCTCAGATCGGTCAAACTGACCACTGTGCGACGCCGCGAGGTGCCGTCGTACCTCGCCCGCGTCGTGGGCGACTACCTGAGGGACAGGTGGGTCGAATATATCGACCAAGGCGGCGTACGCCGACGGGAAAGACTGCACCGGGGAGTGCCCCAGGGATCGGTTCTCGGACCGTTCTTGTGGAACCTGGGGTACGACTCGGTGCTGCGTGTTCCCCTCCCCCCCGACTGTCACGTCGTCTGCTACGCGGACGACACGCTCGTGACAGCCGGGGACCGCGATTGGGGGGAGACCCTCGCCAGGGGGCGAGTGGCAGCGGGAGCGATAGTCGACTCTATCCGCAGCCTGGGCCTCGAGGTGGCACTCGGCAAGACCGAGGCCGTGATGTTCCACGGCAAAAGACGTGGAGCACGCGGCGCGCCGCCCGAGGGACTCACCCTGGCTGTGGGTACGGCCCTCGTCAGGATCGGCCACGAGATGAACTATCTCGGATTGATCCTCGACGACTGATGGAGCTTTGCGAGCCACCTTGCCAGAGCCGCAAGCAGGGCGGGAGTGAGAGCGGCCAAGCTTGGCCGGCTCCTCCCCAACCTTGGCGGCCCGGACGGCAAGGTGCGTCGGCTGTACGCCAACACGGTTAAGTCCGTGGCGCTCTACGGGGCTCCAGTTTGGGCCCCAAAACTCGCGGCATCGCGGCGCGCGCGCGCTCAGATGGCGCGTGCGTTTCGCCCGATAGCCGCGAGGATCTGTAGGGCGTACCGAACCGTGGCGTGCAACGCGGCGGCGGTAATCGCGGGTCTCCTCCCGATGGAGTACGCGGCGGAGGAACATAGTAACATGTTCCTCGAAAGCCGCGACTCCGAGGGGAGACCCATAAGATGGTCGGCGACTCACCGTGCTCGGCAGAGACTCCGGCACCGGCGACGCACAATCGCCACGTGGCGAGAGGCGCTCTTAGCCTCGGGGAACAACACCCCGGGGCTGCGCGTCGTCGGTGCAATCGGGCCCCTCCTTGACCAGTGGGTCGATAGGGGATGGGGTGGGCTGTCCTTCCGGATGACCCAGGTGATGACGGGGCATGGCTGCTTCAGACATTTCCTGGATCGGATCGGAAGGGAGCAAGACTCCCGCTGCCACCATTGCAGCGCGGCGGACGACACCGCCCAACATACGTTGGGCGAGTGTCCGGCGTGGGCGGACGAGCGGGAGGCGCTCGTCCGCGTGATAGGGCGGGACCTCTCCCTTCCAGCGGTGATTACCGCAATATTGGAAGAGGAGAGGTCCTGGCACGCGTTTGCCTCCTTCTGCGAGAAAGTCATCTCGCAGAAGGAGGCGGCGGAGCGGGAGAGGAGGGGCCAGATACCCCTTCCCCGCCCGCCACAGCGGCGGCGGCGGCGGCGCTAGGCTCGGGGAAGATTTCCCCGGGCCCGGCCTGCCCGACCGGCCGCGGGGGATGGGGTGGGAGCTGGGTCAGACGGAGGAAGAGCTGACGGGGAGGCGCACTCTCCCCCAGTCG